CAAAAACATACAATGGGGAAAGGAATTCCTATTCAATAAATGGTGCTGGGAAAATTGAATAACAACATGTAGAAGAAGACTGAAACAGGATCTGCCCCTCTCACCACTCACAAAAATTAATTCACGATGGATAACAGACTTAAACCTAAGGCATGAAACAATAAGAACTCTAGAAGAAGAGACTGGAAAAACTCTTATAGATATCCACCTAGGCAAAGAATTTATGAAGAAGACCCCAAAGACAGTCACAACAACAACAAAAATAAATAAATGGGACTTGATTAAATTAAAAGGCTTCTGCACAGCCAAGGAAACAATCAATATTGCGAATAGACAACCTACAGAATGGGAGAAAATATTTGCATGCTACACATCTGATAAAAGGCTAATAACCAGAATCTACAAAGAATTCAAGCAAATCGGCAAGAAAACGTCAAACAACCCCATTAAAAAGTGAACAAAAAACATGAACAGAAGCTTTTCAGAAGAAGATAGACTAATGGCCAATAAACAAACTCCCATGATTTTTATTAGAATTATTTTCATGGACTTTCTCCTCTGGAAGAAAAAATATATTTAGCTACTATTTTAAGATTTTTATGACAGTAGCATGTAAGGCACAAAAGCACAAGGCCGCAAAAGCAGCAGCAGTCAAATACAGAGTTAAACATAACCTTGATTAACAATTCTTGTTATTCATGGATGCCAGCTCAGTTAATAAGTGTTTGTGGCTTGGATGCTGAACTGGAGGTTAATGGCGAGGTAGAAGCAATTGTAGAATCCAGATTTTTAAGACAAACACACATCACACCACAAAAGGCATGCATGGAATCAGGTGTAGTCAGTCGGCTGTGGTGATGTACTTTGGGTGTTCTCCTTCACTGGTCCAGCTGTGAACAGCCCCCAGAGCTGGAGACTTGTCAAGCATGGAGGAACTTCACCGCGAGCCTCTGTGGCATTTCCACATTCAACATTTGAATGGCTGAATGGGAGACCGTGAGAGAGGGGTATTTTTATTTGAAAACTTTTTAATTACAGTTTTATTTTGACTTCTCTAAATTGGATTTGTAGAACAGATCGGTCAATTATATAGTTACAGGACAGCACATGTCCAAATTTAATATTTATACTCATCTCGACTGGGCTGTCAAATGTCAATAGTATGGAGTCACATTTTCCTTAAACTTCATGTGCCTTAAAAGCAAAATGAATGCAAGACATGATTTAAAAACTGCACTGTTCATTGGCCGTTAAGGGACATTTTTATGTTGAAGAAAGAATCTGAAGCCCTAGTACATTCCTTCACTGATTTTTCTTTCCTCCCTGTGAGCTGGATTAAAAAGCAGGAGAGTTTTTTCATGTGCAGGGGTAATCAGGTCAGGACTAAAAGTAAATAAGTATCTGAGGAAGTGGATAAGCCAGTCACATCCTCAGAGGGCACTGAAAGAATGCGGGAAGACGCTGTCTTTTTCCTCCCTCGTTCCTTCAGAGACAAAGAGAGAAGATTGAGGTCTAAAACGTGTAACCTCAAAATTGCTCTTCTGTCAGAAGCCAGAGCTGGGTGGCGATGTGATCACAGATCGTGGTCTGGCCGAGTCATGGGTCATGTGGTCCAGCCTGTGAACAGGAAGGTGAGAAGGAGGAGCTTTTGCCTCAGTCGTGCCATCCATCAGAGGATAAATGGAGCAGATCCGCGGGTGCAGCTGTATGAGGAGGCGACGGCCGCGTCCTTCTCACACAGGGGCCTTTGTCTCCCGGACATGATCTAGCATTACGGCGGGATGCACTGGGCCTGGGCTTTGTGGCGAATTACTAACCCATTATCACGCCAGAACACAGGATCATTTATCTTCCAATCCGGAGTGTCACCTGTTCTTCATTTACCAGTCAATAACCATTAATTATGCTCAGTGGAAATTTAAACAAAGCCCTTTCCCTCTGTTAAAACCAGTAAACTATTCAGTAATAACAAATAAATCTGGAGTTGTATATCCTTTCCCTTCCCATTCCCAGACCGGAGTCTGGTACAATATGAACTTCAGAGGAAATGCCTAGAAATTGATAGGTCAAAGGCCACAGATAGTCTGATGGAGAAGCAAAGAACAGATTCTTGGCTCTTGCTCTCATGAAAAGAGAGGCTCCTTACTGATCCCCAGATTCCTGCCGGGAACACAACAAGCACCAGGGGACCTGTGCCCGTGTTTAAAGTGATCCACGTTAACCAGCAATCATATTTTCTCCTTTCATTTTTTAGCAAATCCTTGCTTTCTTTCGCATGACTAAAAATAGGATTTTTATTTTTTGAGACCATTCTAGCACAGCAGAGTGTTTCTAAAGAAACAAAATGAGCCGAGTGGTCCTGAAAGACCTATTTGAAATGTTATTTTTAGAATGGAAATTTGAGTCAAACACATTTAAGTGTATTTACCGCCTTACATGTAATCCCTGTAGAAGAATGTTCAAATAGAAATTCTAGCCAGAAGCATAATTTAATTTTTCCTAAAAACTCTGAAAGTATTTTGGTAAAAGCCAAAATAAGTTTGTGTGAGTGTGTTGCATGGGTACACGCATGTGCCCTCTCGGGTGTGGTGGGAGGCTTGGCTTAGTTGGGAAGGGTGGCTGGAGGGCAGGCTGGGTCCCAGGGAAGCCACCATGCTGTGTGCTGCTGGTCACAGGGAAACCCAGCGAGACAGCAGGAATTCATTCCAATGGCTAGACTTGGGACCCTGGCGCGGAGTCCAGAGAGATCAGCATTCCCAGACAGATGAGGGGATGGGGCGCGCCAGGCCGCGGGAACTTCACATGCAGGCACAGACCTACGGAGCAGCCACCCCACTGGGCCTTCGCTAGTGCTCAGGCCTTGGCGCCCCTTCCAAAAAAGCACCCCTCTGAGGGGCTTCGTGACATGTGGTGTTGGCCACCGGCTTTGCCAGCAGGGCCTGGGCTGCATTCCAGGCCCCGCTCCTCCCCTCGGCCCCCAGCATTTAACAGCGTTCAGGAAGCTACCAAGCCGTTGTAGACTCCTTCTGCTGTGTGGTCTATCCCAAGAAAGAGAACAGCTTGTATTATGTGCCTTTTGAAAACTGATCAAACTTTATTAGGAATAGTGGTAGTAGTAGTATAACATTTAAAAAGTGCTGTGACTTAATCCATCAACCATAATCTCTTAATGCAAAATGGAACTATAGGTATTTCATTAATATGAACAAAACTTTCTCCTAGCCAAGATAATTTCATCTGTCAGTTACTCTACAATATACCACTGAACTTGAAGCTATTGTCATTGTCCAAGAAGTGTGCCCCATCTTTAAGGCATGTAAAATTGCCCAAGATCTCATCTTCTATAGGAAAAAAATATAATTTAAAACAGTCTTATAACAGTCCAGAAATATCTGTAAGAAGTAACTTCAAGTAAAAAAGATTTATTTTTCTTTTTTAGAAAGCTGCCGCAAATTCAAATGAATAAAGCAGGATTAAACTTTTTTGGTGGCATTTTCTAAGAGAAAATAGGCTTCCTCGTTGATTTTAGCAACCTGTTTTCAACTTATCCAGTAGCAGCTAGGCAGACACCAACCAAAATAGTTTTGTTTAAATGTTAGGACAACAGTTCAATGCATATAACGTTGGTGACTGTGTTATAATGAAGTGTATATTCTTTTTACCTATTTTATTTTGAGAAGTGGGTGCGAGTGATAAAAATAAAAAATAGTGATTTTTTTTAATTTGGCTTGGATTTTTCTTAAAGAGACGTGCTCCTGTGGGATACTTGCACTTAATTTTTTAAAATCTATATCTCCTATCTGTTAAAAAACTCTTCATAATTAATGTGAAATTCCAAGATATGGAAACGATAGGCCCGTGTGCTATTGATAGCAGCTCTCCTAACCAGAGGAAGCCAGGCTGTGACGGTACCACCAGTTGGTGTCTTGGACACGCAGCTGCATTTTTGCCCAACCAGATTCCTGGTTCCTATGGAGGATGTATACCAGTATGATACATCTACTTAGATCAGTAGTCCCCAACCTTTTTGGCACCAGGGACCGGTTTCATAGAAGACGATTTTCCATGGGGGAGGGTTGGCGGAGCTCAGGCGGTGATGCGAGCGACGGGGAGCGGCTGTAAATACAGATGAAGCTTTGAAGCTTCGCTTGCTAGCCCACTGCTCACCTCCTGCTGGGCAGCCCTGTTCTGAAGTTTCATGGCAGACAATTTTTCCACAGGGGCAGGGAGAGGTGGGGTGGGAGGGTGCAGGGGGGAGGAGGGGAGCTCAGGCGGTGATGGTGATGTGTGGCCCAGTTCCTAACAGCCTCCAGCCCGGGGGTTGGGGACCGCCGATTTAGATCACAGTGTGGAGGCTGAGCACCTAACTTTGAAATGCTGCCTTATGGAACCCTTAACTCTGGTGTAAATGTTTTCATTCTCAGACAACTTTTTAAAAATACTAGTACTCTTCATTGCATGATCCTTTTTCTATCAATCTTGTTTATTTTGCTTTTCGATTGGTAAATGTTCAAATTTACTGTTCAAAATTAGCTTAACTTTTGAGGACAAACATCTGTCTTTAAATGACTTTTCCTTGTCTGCCATCTATGATATAAAGAAAAATTAGACAATATTTTTAAAACTGTTCTTTTTATAAATAATACCATAAAAGGTTATTAGCCACAGATACTGCTTGACATCACATTGCTCCAAATTGTGGTCCAAGGATCTGCTGCATGAGAATCACCTGGGATGTTAAAGACAAAGATTCCTAAGACATTTCCCAGGCCTGAGCTCGCTCCTCTGCAACGGTGGCACCAAACAAGTTCCCCACACAGTTCTGACGCACACGATAGTTTGAGAGCCGTTGTGGCAGTGGTTAGAATGCCACTGTAATAAAATCATGTTTGTTTTCTAGCTATACGTCCATGTCCCGTTATGTGCAGTGGATAACATTGTATTTCCAAAGTGGCTGCTGAATGCAACTTTGACATGAATTTCCCTCTTTTTGTGCCTAGGCAATGTGGCTGATGTTGCAGAATGATGAGCCGGAGGACTTCGTCATAGCTACCGGGGAAGTCCATAGTGTCCGGGAATTTGTCGAGAAATCCTTCTTGCACATTGGGAAAACCATCGTGTAAGTATACCTGAGAGTCGACTGCTGCCGGATGGCCAGATGTTTGCTGGCAGGTGTGCACATGCGCTTGCTGTTCTGCCTTGGTTCTGTTCGTCGTCTTCCCCCTTCCCTCCCTTGTGAAGCAATATAGGGAGTTTCGGTGCGGAAAAGGGACTTGGTTCTTCGCTGCATCTGGCCCCACTTACATTATATGTTAAATGTCGGTCAGCGTCTAAACCATGTCTCATTGAAATTTCTTTTATCTTTCTTATTTTTAAAATATTTTTAAATTTTTATTTACTTTTAAGTTTTATTTTTGTTTCTTAAGTTTTAAATTTTTTTATCTTGGTATAAATACCATCTTCTGTGATTTTACTGTGGCTAATTCTACTCTTACCAGATCAATGTCATAACATTAAACAATCTTTTTAATACCTTCACTTTATATTTTTAAAATTTGAAACCATCAAAAACTTACAGAAAAGTTTCAAATACATTACAGCCTTTTTTCTCTGAACCACTGAGAATAGGTTGCTGACCTGATGTCCCATCACCCTGAACTTTGTGTATATTTCTTACAAACAATGACAGTCTCCGACGGAAACTCGATACAACCATCAAACTCAGGAAATTCACAGTGATAAATTATTGTCATCTAATCCACAGATTCCATTTGAGATTTGGCAGTTGGGCCAATGTTACACTCTATATTGAAATGATCCGGTTTATAATCATGCACTACATTTACTTGTTTTGTTACATTATATGAATTTTGAAGTCAGATTTTTATTGGAATATTTGAGAGATTTGTGGAAAATCCTTCATCACAGATAAAAGATTCTTTTTTATTTTTGGTGATTTTTTCATTGTGATAAAATATAACATAAAATTACCCGTTGAACCATTTTTAAGTGTATAATTCAGTAGTATTAAGTACATTCACAATGTTATGCAGCCATCATCACTGTCCCTTTCCATAACTTTTTAAAAATGATTTCAAGCAGAAACTCTGTACCCATTAAATAATAATTCCTCATTCTCTCTTCTGCCAGCACCTGGTAACCTCTATTCCACTTGCTGTTTCAATGAATTTGTCTATTCTGGGTACTTCATATAAGTGGAATTATATAATATTTGTCCTTTTGTGTCTGGCTTATTTCATTTACCATGTTTTTATAGTTCATATTGTAGCATTTCCTTCCTATTTTAAAGGTTGAACAATATTCCATTGTGTATATATACCATGTACACTTTGGTTATCCATTCGTCTGCTGATGGACACTTGGATTGTTTCCTCCTTTTGGCTAATGTAAATAATTCCGCTTATCCATGCATGTACAAATACCTGTTTGAATTCCCGCTTTGAGTTCTTTGGGATATATACTTAGAAGTGAAATTACTGGATCATGTGGTAATTCTATAGCTCAACTTTTTGAGGAACTACCAAATTATTTTCCAAGATTCATTTTAAAATCATAAAAAGGACTTTCACTTCTGGCCATGATGGAATAACAGAAACCAGATTTAACCTTCTATTTTAAAAAACTAGGAAACCAGACAAAATACATGAAGCAACGGTTTTAGACATAGAGCAACAGACAGTACAGGGCTGTGTTCCCTGATAGAAAGAAATGAGGGAACCCTGCAATCCCCTTGGCTTTCTTCCTGTGGGCACAGCCTGGACCATGCAGCATGGAAGAGAACGTCAAGCAGAGAACAACTGTCTTGCTGAGCTAAAGAGGCAGCAACCAGAATTCAGGGGTCAAGTCTGAGGTACCTGGACTTTGTGGGGCAGAGTTCTAGAAAGATGGGCTCTACAAAGAAAAAGAGCTCCAGAAGTCTGCATAGGGGTACCATGAGTCTTTGCAAAATAATAAGATGCATGTATGAAAGAAACTCCCCAAGCTGGGACGAAGAATCACCTGGGAGCTGGGAGTTGAGTGTTTCTTCGAGCTCACCTCAAACTGGAAGGCATTCAGGTTTCAGCCAGCCACGACGGGGAGACCTTGTTGGTTTCTCAGAGATTGCAGTATGGACTCTGCAAGGGCTATGCCTCAGTAATGGGGCTAAAGATGAGTTTCAAAGGGATCAAACTGGGCACAAATAACTTAGCTTCCTGTCATGACAAAGCCCAATATACTTCAAAAGGAGACAGGAAATGTAGTCACTCAACAATGTAAAACTCATAATGTTCAGCATTCAGTCAAAAATTAGGAGCCATGTCAAGAAGCAGGAAAATATTACCTATAACCAAGAGAAAAATCAATCAATAAAAACAGACTGAGAAATAATAAAGTTGATATGAGCACATGGGGACGTTAAAATAACTATTATAACTATGTTCAAGTATTTTAAGAAAGACAATAATATATTGAAGAGAGAGAGGGAACATATATTTTAAAAAGAATCAGCTAGAACTTATAGAGATGAAAAACGAAGTATCCGAAATGAAAAATTCACTGTTGGCACTGAGAGAAGATTAGATCCTGTAGATGAAGAGACTGGTGAAGGTAGATGGAATACTAGAAATGATTAAAAATGAAGCACAGAAAGAACAGTTTCAGTGACCTGTGGGACAGTTACCAAACAACTTAACATGGGTAATTGGAGTCTGAGGGGAAGCAGGGGAGGGACACAGAAAAAGAATTAAATAATGGTCAAATTTTTCCCAAATTTAATGAAAACGGTAAAATCATACATCTAAGAGGCATAATAAACTTCAAGCAGAATAAACACAAAGAAAGTCACACCAGGATGCCTCATACTCAAAATTCTGAAAATCTTAAAAGCAGCCAGAAAAGAAAAATAATTATTTGCAGTGGATCTCCGTTTTATTACCACTTGGGGAAACATACTTTTATAGAACTTCAGGAGCGCATGCTTCATCCTCCCTAGGACACTGCTTTAATTCCTTCATCTCCTGGCTTGGTCAGTCCCACCCCCTGTACAATGTGGTGCAACGTCCCGGTTAAAAGCACACGCCCAGCGCCACACTTCCTGGGCTCGAATCCCAGCTCTGCCACTTCTTAGGGCATTCACTTACCCTCTCTGTTTCTCCACTTTCCCAACTTTAAAATGGGGGATGTAAGAGTCCCCATGTCCAGGAACAGGGTGAAGATTAGATGGGCAAGTGTATGTAAGTCACTTTTAAAACAGCACCTGACACATCTTAAGCTCTCTGTAAGTATTTGCTATTAATGAAGTGGGTAATTGATTGAAAACATTTGTCAACAATGAATTCAAGCGGTCAAGAAAATACAGAAACCATAAGTTTGGGCAACTGATCATGTTTAGGGACAAGAAACAGTGTAAAAAAAAAAAAAAAAATCACACTAGCTTTTCATGCCTGCATGACCAGAAGAAATTTAAGGCACTTAGGAAAGAGAGGCAATTGCAGGAGGAGGAACAAGCTTGTTTAGATTTTGTTGTGTCAGTGTGGTGGAGCGGGTGAGACTTCTCTTCCTCTCTAACACCTGACCCCTTCGGAGAAGACCTGGCCGTTCATTAGAGTTAGAGCACCTCTGTGCAAACCCGTCTCCTGGAGAGCAGGGTTCTCAAACCTTAGTATGCTGCGGCTCACTCGGAGCTCGTTAAGACGCAGGTGCTGAGCCCGTGGGTCTGGGCGGGGCTGAGACTCCGTGGTCCTAACGAGATCGGGGGATGTGGGCGCTGCAGATCTGGGGACGTGTTTTGAGGAGCCGGGCCTGAGACAGTTACAGAACCTCAAGTTCGAAATGAACCTTGACAGTTACCTTTTTCTCGTTCTACCTTATTTTTGTCACTTGGGACTTTACCTTCCTCAGTAGACTAGACAGTAGGCTCCTGCAGGGCAGAATTTGGTGTCTGATTCCTTTCTGTACCTGTCATTGTGCCTAGCACAGTGTCAAACATGTAACTTTAATGAATCAGTAATGGAAATAGAATTTTTGGAAGTTGGGAAATTTGATTTGAGGGTTTTTCTGGTTGGGGGAGTGTTGCTCAAAAATGAAAAGACTTATAAATTCTAGGGCTTCCTGTGAGAACAGGTCAGGGGGCATCTGCAACTGGCTTAGTTCCCTTCCCCTGTTTTGTGTTTGTTCCTCACATCTCCGTATTCATAAGATTATTTAAGTGCTAATGGAATTTAATTGCAATTGAATTGAATTTATCATCTGATAAATAGAGGTAAGAGGAGTTCTCTGGACTTCCTGTCTCTGTCAGTAATCGGTAAGGAATGCTCTCGCACAAGACGAAGAGACCCACAAAAGCCAGAGCGACACCTCCGTTCTCCTTCTCCCATGGTTTAGAAAGAGGCCAAAAGATAACTGGGAGTTCCAAGTACACAGCCACAGTTTCCAGAAATTCTTCTGTCATCCCATGACTGAACTGGTATCTAATGTGAGATGAGATGCTACGCTTTGATAAGGCAAGTCACCCAGAGCTGGAGGAACCATGTGGTTTATTCAGCAATCATTAAGTACCCAATGCCACCAGCTCTTGATAGCTAGGTGTTTTCAAATCAACTATTTAATTTATTGAGTAGTTTGCTTACTTCAAAAATCACAGTAGGTAATCTGTCAAAAATAGCCTTGGAAATAAGAGAATGTCCAAAAGCTTATTTTGGGGGAAACATTTAACATACTTTCCTATAATGTTTTGCATGTTAAAATATTTCACATTGCTTAAATCCCAGCAACAAGTGAAAGTCCATAAAGCCACAGCTGGTATCCTTGTTTCTAGTAGTCTTAAGGTAATTTTGTTTCTGAATTGTAATATGTACAGCAAATACTTTTAATTAGAATCAATTTATAAAAGTCATTTTTCATTCGCCTACATTTTCTTCCTTACTTAGCCAGCTGACTTATAAATTAGGAAACGTGTTGGCGAGGGTGTGGAGAAAAGGGAACCCTTGTACACTCTAGGTGGAAAGGTAAATTAGTACAGCCATTGTGGAAAACAGTACGGAGATTCCTCAAAATATTGAAAATGGAATCACCATACGATCCAGCAATCTCACTTACGGGTGCATATCCAAAGGAAAT